CCAGTCTGCAGACCGATGCTCTACCACTGAGCCAAACCGGTTTGGGCTTTAGTTGTTGTTTTGAAATTGTTGTGCGAGGCAGCAGCTTAGGTGCTTACCTAGGCTGCCATCTTGGTCTCTCGAAAACTGTGTTTTCAATTCTCAGTTGGGAATCTACCGATAATGGTCAACTATATACATTGTTTATGCCATTTTATGTAAGGGACTTGAGCATCGGTGGATTTTTGGTATCTTTATGGGTGTGGGAATGTTCTAGAACCAATCCCCTTTGGCTACCAAGGGACAGTGTTAAGTTTTTTGGGAATTAAAAGTTCAGAGATTTTAGACTGCCCCTAACTCCCTCATTGTTCAGGATCAACTGTACTATCATGCTAAATTAGTTGGTAAATATTCTTTCCTTTTATATTTTTTAAAAGAGTTTGTCAATTATTTCTTTCTTCATGTCTAATAGTATTTACCAATGAAGCCCATGGGCCTGGACTTTTCTTTATGGGTAAATCTTTAATTACTTATTCAAGTTCTTTTTTTTTTTTTTTTAAATATATTTTATTGATTTTGTACAGAGAGGAAGGGAGAGAGATAGAGAGTTAGAAACATCGATGAGAGAGTCATCGATCAGCTGCCTCTTGCACACCCCCTACTGGGGATATGCCCGCAACCAAGGTACATGCACTTGACCGGAATCGAACCCGGGACCCTTCAGTCCCCAAGCTGACGCTCTATCCATTGAGCCAAACCGGTCTCAGCTTATTCAATTTCTTTACTTGATATAGGTCTATCCACATTTTCTTTTATTTCTTGAATTACTTTTGGTAGTTTTGTGATACTTGCTCAGTTAGATCACTAGAGAACTACCTGAGTTTGTCTTTAAGTTTTTATGTTTTTGATTACCACAGGAGTGCTTTTTTGCTCCTTTGTATTCTTTTTTATTATTTTTCCTTTTTTATACTTTATATTTTATGTAGATATATTTCTGAAATAAATATTTGAAACAGCTTGAAATGCTATTCTATTTATTTTTCTATTTTTCATGAAAAACACTAAGCTAGTGTTTTATTTTGCACTTAATATTGTAAGTGTCCTAATTATGCCCCAATTAATTATCTGTTTAGACTTAGTGTCTAAACACAGGTGACCAGGAGTCAGCAATAACGGCCTATCCCCTGGTGCTTCAATGTCTAGACAAGCCGAACCGGAACATATGAACACACAGGACAGAATTAGTATGCAATCACACATGGGTTATTTACTGATTCCTAGTGGGTCCCAGGCTCCAGCAAAGGCCACCCGGCGATGCACACTGATAGACGGACGACGAGGACATACAGGCGGCTGCAGTTGGTTTAGGCTCGCACAGCAGATCAGTCAGTCGGGCATGTCTCACGGAGCAACATGGAGTCCTCCTCTTGTCAGGCAGGAGATGTTGACTGAAGAAATGTCCGATGCTTATATAGCTGGTAGTAAACAATTTGTGTCCTTATCAGTATGGGCCAGTCAGTGCGTCTTATGCTAGGGCATTGACACTTACAGAGTATTAGGGTCAGCAGACATTTCACACAATAATTCATACATTAGAGAGGTTTCTTTATGACCATAACATTATTATAACAGTAAGTTACATGTATACTCATATACTCATCTGCTATTTCCTGAATTCCTTCTGTGTCTAGGACAGTGTTAGATGTCATATCTTATATAGGATTTTGCGTAGAGTATGCTTAAAGGATATTGTATTTTTAGAATCATTTCCAAAAACAGCGAGGCATTTAAAAAAATATTTTTTTATTGATTTCATAGAGGAAGGGGAGAGGGAGAGAGTGATAGAAACATCAATGATGAGAGAGAATCCCTGATCAGCTGCCTCCTGCACTGGGGATTGAGCCTGCAACCCAGGCATATGCTCTTGGCCAGAATTGAACCCGGGACCCTTCAGTCAGTAGGCCAACACTCTAGTCACTGAGCCAAACCGGCTAGGGTCAGCCACGCATTTAGATACAAATATTTAGGTACTCTAGACTTTGAGTGATTATCTTCTGTCAGATTTATTATGTCTCATTCATTCATTGAACATTTATTGAGTTCCCCTTCTATTCTAGGCATTCTTACTGACTGAACAGGACAGTCAAGGTTCCTTGCCTTCGTGGAACTTACAGTCTAGTGGGGTGACTCACAACATAAACAAATAAGATAATTCATATGGGTGATTTATTCTGAGCTCATACAGAAGGTAAGATGTTTGAGAGTGTTGGGAAATAGATTGGGTATCCAGGGAAAGCCTCTTTGGGGTGGTGACATTTTAGCAGATACCCGAAAGACAAGATAGAACTAGCCATTCACAGAGTTGGAGAGAGCGTATTCTGAGACTACGTGGTGCAACGTTCTGGAGGGAAGGAGCAAGCTTAACATGTTTGAGCAACAGTAGGAAGACCAGTGTGTCTGCAGGACAGTGGAAAGGGAATGGTGAGAGATGAAGCTATGTGAGGTCATCTCTCACACAGCTTCAGATCATGTAGGGACGATAGTGTTATGGAAAGGAATGTTGTCTTGATGACTAGTACAGTTGTTAAGATCATGACAACTGATTTACATTTGAAAATTTGCTCTGGTTGCTGTGCAAAGAAAGAATAGTAGGAGGGGCAGGAGTGGTAGTAGAGAGACCAGTTATGGGATTTATGCAAATATGAAATTGTGGTGGTTTGCAACTAGGTTTATAGTTATGATACAAATAAACAGTACAAGATTAAACTCTGTGCATATTCACAACTATAAACCTACTTTTGCCTACCCTTTTATGTACATTCATGTACAAGTCTTTGTGAATATGCTTTAATTTCTCTTGGATAGATCCTGGGAATGAAATTTTGGGTCATGGGAGTGTGTTCCATATTACAAGAAACTGCCAAACTGTTTTTCCAAAGTGGTTATATCATTTTATGTTATCAGCATTGTAAGAGAGTCCCAGTTGCTCCACATTGTCACACACTTTTGGTATTACCAGCAAGTTCTCTTTTTTATTTTCTTTTTAAAAATATATTTTATTGATTTTTTTACAGAGAAGAAGGGAGAGGGAGGGAGAGTTAGAAACATCGATGAGAGAGAAACATCAATCAGCTGCCTCCTGCACACCTCCTACTGGGGATGTGCCTGCAACCAAGGTAAATGCCCTTGACGGGAATCGAACCTGGGACCCTTCAGTTCGCAGGCTGACACTCTATCTACTGAGCCAAATCAGATAGGCCAGCCAGTTCTTTTTATTTTAAGTCATTGTAGTGGCTTTATAATGGTATCTTACGGTGTGTGTGTTTTCTGATTTGATTTTTTTATTGTAAAATATACATAGAATTTACCATTTTAACCATATTTTACTGTTACAATTCAGGGCATTGAGTACGTTCACATTGTGTAACCATCATCACCATCTTCAGAACTTTTTCATTATCACCAACTGAAACCCTGTCCTCATTAAATAATAACTCCCCATGCCCTGCTCCCCTGGTCCCTGGCAGCCACCATTATATTTTCTGTCTCTCTGAGTTTGACTACTCTAGGAACCTCATATAAGTGGAATCATACTAAATTTGTCCTTTTGTAACTGTCTTATTTCACTTACATAATGTCTTCAAGGTTTATCTATGTTGTAGCATATCAGAACTTCCTTTTTAAGACTGAATTTTATTATTCCATTCTATGTATATGTCACATTTTGTTTATCCATTCATCTCATGGACATTTGGATTGTCTGGTGTTTAAATTTGCCTTTACTAAATTAATGATGTTGAAAAGCTTTTCATATGTTTATTGGGCATTCAGATAACTTCTTTTGCTTGCTTTAAAAATGTAAAATTATAAGCTTTCCATATATATTGTTTTTTCTTTTTTCTTTCTTATTTTTATGGATTTCAGAGAGGAAGGGAGAGGGAGAAAGAAATAGAAACATCAGTGATGAGAGAGAATCAGTAATAGGCTGCCTCCTGCATGCCCCACAGTGGAGATCGAGCCTGCAACCCGGGCATGTGCCCTGATACGGAATCAAACTGTGATCTCCTGGTTCATAAGTCAACACTGAACCAACTGAGCCATGCCGGCCAAGCTAAATTTTCCTTACATATTTTTTATATAATCTCTGGGTCAGGTACTTCTGTTGTGAATATTTCTCCTTGACTATAGCTTACCTTTCCCCCCCTCATTGTTTTGGGTTGTTTATAATAGAAGAAAGCAGGCCCATCTTTTTACCCTGGTAAATCTGAAAGTTTACTTGAAGTGCTTCACTGCCTGGGAAGTAGTCTCCAGTGGAGTGATTTGGGGATGAGGCAAGATGATATGGAATACCTTCTTGTTTTATTATAGTACCATTTTATTTTATATGGATATTTCTTTCTTTTTTTATTGTTTAAAGTATCCTATCTAATAAAAGAGTAATATGCAAATTGACCATCACTCCAACACAAGATGGCTGCCCCCATGTGGTCAAAGATCCTGCCCCCATGTGGACACAAGATGGCCAGCAGGGGAGGGCAGTTGGGAGGGACCAGGCCTGTAAGGGAGGGCAGTTGGGGAAAACAAGCCTGCAGGGGAGGGCAGTTAGGGACAAACTGGCTGGCAGGGGAGCAGTTAGGCATCAATCAGGCTGGCAGGCAAGAGGTTAGGGGTTGATCAGGCTGGCAGGCAGAAGCGGATAGGGGCAATCAGGAAGGCAGGCAGGTGAGCAGTTGGGAGCCAGGAGGCCTGGATTATGAGAGGGCAGTCGGACATCCCTCAAGGGGTCTCAGATTGGAGATGGTGCATGCTGGGCTGAGGGAAACACACCCTCACGCATGAATTTCGTGGATTGGGCCTCTAGTTATATAACATAATACATATATCTCCTCCCCCCCCACCCCCATTGACCTTCCCCCAGCCTCTCTTGCCCTCCATTGCTTTCCCTCATCCTCCCATCCCCCCGCCAGTGTCTTGTGTCCATTGGTGTGCTTATATGCATGCATACAAGTCCTTTGGTTGATCTCTTTCCCTCCACTCCCCAACACTTCCCAGCCTTCTTGCTGTAATTTGCCAGTCTGTTTGGTGCTTTACTGCCTCTGTATCTATCTTTTTGTTCATCAGGTTATAATGTTCTTTGTTTTCCATAAATGAATGAGATCATGTGATATTTTTCTTTCATTGCCTGGTTTATTTCCCTTGACATAATGCTCTATAGTACCATTATTTTCAGTATATGGCTATCTAGCCTGGTGTGCATGGCTCAGTGGTTGAGTGTCAACCCATGAATCAGAAGATCATGGTCTGGTTCCTGGGTTGCGGGCTTAATCCCTGGTGCAGAGCGTACAGGAGTCAGCCCATTAGTGATTCTCATTATTGATGTTTCTATCCCTTTCTCCCTCTCCCTTCATGTAAAAGGTATGACTATCTAAACCTATCCAGAGAATGATTTGATTTGAAAAAAATAGTTTTCTGCGCTGGTACATTGTAATTTGACAAAAAGGTGATTTTACCTTTGAACTGATTGAGCTTCTATCCTAAGACAATGATTTAAGACAAGCACTAAATGAAATTAGTCATTGCTGCATTTTTTTATAAATGAAAAATTGAATTATCTGAATGCTCAAAAAAAAGAAAGGAGTAGTATGTACAACATGGAAAATATGCCTTTGTATTAAGAAGCTGAGGGTTTTACATTGTTTTTTTTGTTTGTTTTTTGTTGTTTTTTTAGAACCTCACTGGGGATATGTTTTTATTCTTAGAGAGAGAGAAAGAGAGAGAGAAATAGACAAACATTGATTGGTTGCCTCCTACACATCCGCCAACCAGGGATTGAACTCTGGACTTAGATATGTGCGGGAATAGAACGTGCAACCTTTTGGTGTACAGGACAATGCTGCAACCAGCTGAGCCACTCGGCCAGAGCCTAAGGAGCTAACTTTTGCTCTGGTTACAAGTGTGTAAAATACCTAATATAATATCTGGGTTGCAAATACCACATCTGTAAAATCGGATAGTGAAGTAGCTACCTCATTGCGATTGGAAGGAAAGAATGGCCCCTAACGGTTTAGCTCATGCCTGAAATGGTAAGTATGCAATAAATGCAATCTCTGATGTTCTTACACAATATGATGTGTAAATGGTTGTGGGATTATGTGTTTTCTAATCATCTCTTATTTTCTTGAAGGTGATTTTTCCCTTTTCTGTTACCCACCACATTAAACTATCACCAAATTCAAACCACCATCTAAACTAGTAATGGTCTTGAATCCATCGGCTTTTTTCCACCTTCATTGATGTTACCTATTCTAGCTTACCATCATCTCTCAAATGGACTTTGTGGTCGCACTGCATCTTTTTTTGCACCTCTTACAGTTCGTATTCTTTAAAAAAACAAAACAAATTTATTCTCACAGTTTTGAAGGCCAGCAGTCTGATCTCAGAGTGTCATTTAGCAGGGTTGGTTCCTTCCTGGGGACTCTGAGGGAGAAGCTGCTCCATGCTCTTAGCCTCTGATTGCTGGCCATCCATGGCTTGTGACAGCATTGTTCCAGTCTCTGCCTCTGTCTGACAGACATGGCATTTACTCTGTATCCAGTTTGTGTTCTTTAATGGTGGCCTTTGATGAACATGACTTTTTACTTGGATGAAATCTAATTTATCAGATTTTTTTCTTCCAGGATTAGAATTGGTGTTTTGTCTGAGAAATCTTTATCACAAGGTCACTAACATACTCTGCATTTTGTTTTCCTAGTGCCTTTAGTTTTTGCTTTTATGTTTAGATAATTTATTTCAAATTAATTTTTGTATATGGTGTGGGATAGAAATAGGTTATTTTTCTCACATATCCATCCAGTTATTCTATCACCATTCGGTTAAAATTACTTTCATTTATCCATTGATTTACCTTGGTACCTTGATCTGAAGTCAGTTGACTATATGTGAGTGAGTCAACTTCTGGACTCTATTCTGTTTCATTGTCTGTCTATTCTTGCAACAATATAACACTGATTTCCACAGTTTAATAGAAAATCTTGATATAAGGTAGTGAAACATCTAACTTTGCTTTTTTCCCCCACAGTTGTTTTGACTTCTATTTTGCATTTCCATATACTATTAGGACCAGTTTTTCATCTCCCAAAAGGGCAGCTGAGATTTTTATTGATATATGTATTTGATTCACTTGGGGAGACTTGACAACATTAAGCTCTTCCGTCTATGAATGTGGTACATCTCTACATTTATTTAGATATTTAAAAAATATTTCTCATCAGTTTCTATTGGAGATCCTATACATTTTTCATTAGATTTATTCCTAAGTGTTTTATGTTTTTTAATATCATTATAAATAGTATTTTAAACTTTGACTTTCAATTTTTTGATGCTATTCTATGGAATACAGTTGTCTATTTTATATTGAGCATGTATCCTGTGACTTTGCTAAATTCACTTATTAATTTTAGTAGGATTTTTTAATTTTTTGGTACAGTCCCTAGAGTTTTTTTGTTTTTGTTTTAATCTTTATTGTTTAGACTATTACAGTTATTCCTCTTCTCCCCCCCCCACCCCCCCATAGCTCCGCTCCACCCGGTTCCCACCATACCCTATGCCCTTACCCCCTCACCCCCCCACTGTACTCATCCATAAGTGTATGATTTTCATCCAGTCTCTTCCCACACCCCCTACTCCCCTATCCACCAAGGATTGTCAGTCCACTCCCTTTCTATGCCAATGATTCTATTATATTCACCAGATTATTCTGTTCATCAGATTTTTCACTTGAATTTTAGATTCACCTGTTGATATAATAGATATATATTTGTTGTCACTTTGTTGTTCATAATTTTTATCTTTACCTTTTTCTTCTTATTCCTCTTCTTAAAGAATACCTTTCAGCATTTTCTATAATACTGGTTTGGTGGTGGTGAACTCCTTTAGCTTTTTCTTATCTGTGAAGCTCTTTATCTGACCTTCAATTCTGAATGATAGCTTTGCAGGGTAGAGTAATCTTGGTTGTAGGTTCTTGCTATTCATCACTTTGAATATTTCTTGCCACTCCCTTCTGGCCTACATAGTTTCTGTTGAGAAATCAGTTGACAATTGTACTGGTGCTCCCTTGTAGGTAACTAACTGCTTTTAATATTCTCTCTTTGTCTTTTGCTCTGGGCATTTTAATTATGATGTGTCTTGGTGTGGTCCTCTTTGGGTTTCTTTTGCTTGGGATTCTGTGTGCTTCCTGGAAAATTATAAGTATTTCTTTCACCAGGTGGGGGAAGTTTTCTGATATTATTTCTTCAAATAGAGTTTTAGTATCTTGCTCTCTCTCTTCTTCTGGCACCCCATAATTTGGATGTTGGATGTTGGTACGCTTGAAGTTGTCCCAGAGGCTCCTTACACTGGCTTTCTTTTTTTTTTTCTTTTCCTTTTTTCTTTTCCAGTTGGGTGTTTTTTGCTTTTTTGTATTTCAAATATTTGACTTGATTCTTGGAGTCCTCTAGTCTGCTGTTGGATCTCTGTATATTATTTTTAATTTCAGTCAGTGTATGCTTAATTTCTAGTTGGTCCTTTTTCATATCCTCGAGGGTCTCGCTAAAGTTATCGGCATTTTCTAGAAAGTTCTTGAAAAACCTTATAACCATGTTTTTGAACTCTATATCCAGTAGTTTTCTTTCCTCCATTTCTTTTATTTGTGACATGTTTCTTTGTCTCTGCATTTTCGCTGCTTCCCTGAGTTGATAGAGTGGCTTTGTGTGCTAGGTATCCTATATGGCCCAGTGGCTCAGCCTCCCCAGTTACCTGAGGTGGACACTCTTGGTGCACCCCTTTGTGGGCTGTGTGCACAGTCTTGTAGTTAAGCCTTGATTGTTGTTGGTATCACTGGGAGGAATTGGCCTCCAGGTTAATTGGCTGTGAGGATCAGCCGTGTCTACAATGGGAGAACTTCTGTGCTGGAGACACCCTTATAAAGCAAGATTTGCTTCAGTGGGCTTTGGTGCTCACTGAGTCTGCCCCCCAAGTGTATCCCTTATGGATTTGAGGAGTTGTAATCTGGATGGTCCTACTCTGACCCCTGGGTACACTGGCTCTTGGATCTCCAAGGACGTGCTAATTTAGCCTCTGCCAGAGGCCACCCAGCAGGACCTACAGAGAGATCTGCAGATTTCTCTTCTTTGTTTGGGGTTTGGAGGTGCCCAGGTGAGGCCCAGCTGTGAAGCAATGCAAGCTGCTGTGGGTCTTTAGGCCTTCTTTTGGATGTTTTGGGTCTTTCTGACTCAGCTGCAGTTTGTTAGGTAAGTTTAGATTTCGAAGGACCAGGCCATTCATATGCAAAAGCCTCTGTGCACAGCTTGGATAAGGTAGAGTCTTGGGGCAGAGCAAACAGCAATGGCTTCCCTTAAGCCCTACCTTAAGAGGCCTCTGGGTCACGGTGTCCCATTGTACTCGCTGCAAGCACCTCTGAGAGAAAGCCGCCCTCAAGTTCTGCCTGCTGCCAGACAGTCCAGTTTCTCCCTATGAGTCTAGGTCCCCAGAGTCTCACCCAGAATGGGAATTTAGAGCATTTGGGAGTTTGTGTCTTTCTGCAGATTGAAATAGCCAGCTGCATCCTCAGTTGCCAGGCCTCTCTGTGCACACCTCAGTACCTCCTCATTTTACTTCGCAGCTCCTCTGAGTCTCAGTGTGCTTTTATCTTCACTTCTAGTTGTAGAATTTCCACTTAGCCAGCCTTCTTGTGGTTCTGGATGATGTCCATTTTGTCTTTTAGTTGTAGTTTTGAAGTGGTTGTGCGAGGCAGCAAGTTCAAGTGTTTACCTATGCTGCCATCTAGGTTTCTCAGTTGTCCCTAAGGTTTTTATATACATAGTTGTATAGTTTACAAATAAAGACTATTTTACTTCTACTTTTCCAGTAGTTATGCTTTTTATTTTTATTTATTTTTTTATTCTCTAGCTTTTATTTATTTATTTAATTTATTTGTATTTTAATTTCTTTATTAAGGTATTACATATTTGTCCTCATCCCCCCCATTACCTTCCCAAACCCCCATCCCTCCCCACTCATGCCCTCTCTCCACTGTTGTCTGTGTCCACTAGTTAGACTTATATGCATGTATACAAGTCCTTTGGTTGATCTCTCCCCTTACCCCCACCCTCCCCTACCTTCCCACTGAGGTTTGATAGTCTGATTCATGCTCCCCTGTCTCTGGATCTATTTTTGTTCATCACTTTATGTTGTTCATTATTTCACATAGATGAGTGAGATCATGTGATATTTATCTTTCTCTGACTGACTTATTTCACTTAACATAATGCTCTCCAGTTCCATCCATTTTGTTGCAAATAGTAAGAATTCCTTCTTTTTTAGCACAGCACAGTATTCCATTGTGTAGATGTGCCACAGTTTTTTAATCCACTCATCTACTGATGGGCACTTAGGCTGTTTCCAGATCTTAGCTATGGTAAATTGTGCTGCTATGAACATAGGGGTGCATCCTTTTTGATGTTTCTAGTTTCTTTCTCTTTTCTTTTTTTTAAATATATTTTATTGATTTTTTTACAGAGAGGAAGAGAGAGGGATAGAGTGTTAGAAACATCAATGAGAGAGAATCATCGATCAGCTGCCTCTTGCACACCCCCTACTGGGGATGTGTCCGCAACAAAGGTATATGCCCTTGACCGGAATCAAACCTGGGACCTCTCAGTCCACAGGCCGACGCTCTATCCACTGAGCAAAACCAGCCTCGGCTGTTTCTAGTTTCTTGGGATATATTCCTAGAAGTGGGATCACTGGGTCAAATGAGAGTTCCATTTTTAGTTTTTTTGAGGAAACTCCATACTGTTCTCCAAAATGGCTGCACCAGTCTGCATTCCCAGCAGCAGTGCACAAGGGTTTCTTTTTCTCCACATCCTAGCCAGCACTTGTTATTTGTTCATTTGTTGATAATAGCCGTTCTGACAGGTGTCAGATGGTACCACATTGTCATTTTGATTTACATCTCTCAGATAATTAGTGACTTTGAGCATGTTTTCATGTTTCTTGGCCTTCCTTCTGTCTTCTTTTGAAAAAATTTTATTGCCGAGACCGGTTTGGCTCAATGGATAGAGCGTCGGCTTGGGGACTGAGGGACCCGGGTTCGATTCCGGTCAAGGGCATGTACCTTGGCTGCGGGCATATCCCCAGTAGGGGGTGTGCAAGAGGCAGCTGATCGATGACTCTCTCTCATCGATGTTTCTAGCTCTCTATCTCTCTCCCTTCCTCTCTGTACAAAATCAATAAAATATATATATAAAAAAAATTTATTTAGGTCTGTTGCCCATTTTTTTTATTGGATCATTTAGCTTTTTTAAAAATATATATTTTACTGATTTTTTGCAGAGAGGAAGAGGGATAGAGAGTTAGAAACATCGATGAGAGAGAACTATCAATCAGCTGCCTCTTGCACACTCCCCACCAGGGATGTGCCCGTAACCCAGGTACATGCCCTTGACTGGAATCGAACCCGGAACCCTTCAGTCCGCAGGCCTACGCTCTATCCACTGAGCCAAACCAGTTATCTTCCTTTTGTTAAGTTGTATGAGTTCCCTGCAAATGTTGGAGATTAAACCCTTATCAGTGATAACATTGGCAAATATGTTCTATATAGTAGGCTTTCTTGTTTTGTTGATGTTTTCTTTTGCTTTGCAAACGCTTTTTATTTTGATGTCCCATTTGTTTATTTTCTCTTTAGCTTACATTGCCCTAGGAGCAGTATCAGTGATGAACTTCCTTCGACATGTATTTGAGAATTCTCTGCCTGTGGATTCCTCTAGTATTTTTATGGTTTCCCGTCTTATGTTTAAGTCCAATATCCATTTTGAGTTTATTTTTGTATATGTGTAAGTTGGTGGTCTAGTTTCATTTTTTTTGCATGTATCTGTACAATTTTCCCAACATCATTTATTGAAGAGACTGTATTGACTCCATTGTATGTTCATGCCTCCTTTGTCGAATATTAATTTGGCATAGTGGTTTGGGTTGATATCTGGGTCCTCTATTTTATTCCATTTATCTATATGTCTGTTCTTGTGCCAGTACCAGGCTGTTTTGAGAACACTGGCTTTGTAATACAAATTGATATCTGGTATTGAGATCTCACCTACTTTGTTCTTCTTTCTCAGGATTGCTGTGGCTATTCGGGTTCTTTTTTTAAAAATTTTTTATTCCAGATGAATTTTTGGAGAGTTTGTTCTAGGTCTGTTAAATATTTTAATGGGGAGTGAATTGAATCTGTAGATTGCTTTGAGTAGTATGGACATTTTGATGATGTTGATTCCACCAGTCCATGAACATGGTATGTTCTTTCATCTGTTTACATTTTCCTCTATCTCTTTATTCAGTGTCCTGTAGTTTACCATGTATAGGTCTTTTACCTCCTTAGTTACATTTATTCCTAGGTATGTTCAATTTTTATTTATTTACTTACTTATTTTTATATGATGGTAAATGCGATTGCTTTTTTCGTCTCTTTTTGTAAGTTCACTATTGGTGTATAGAAGTGCCATAGACTTCTTGGCGTTAATTTTGTATCCTGCTACCTTAATACATTTATTAAGTCAAATAATACATTTATTAAGTCAAATACATTTATTAAGTCGAATAATTAAAGACAGGAGTCTTTAGGGTTTTCTTTGTACAGTATCATGTCATCTGGTAATAAGGACAGTTTTACTTCTTTTCCAATTTGGATGCCTTTTATTTCTTTTTCTTGTCTAATAGCAATGGCTAGTACTTCTAGTACTCTGTTGAATAGGAGTGGTGAGAATGGGCATTCCTGTCTTGTTCCTGTTCTTAGGGGAAATGGTTTTAGTTTTTGTCCATTGAGTGTGATGTTGGCTGTGGATTTATCATATATGGCTTTTATGATGTTGAGGTATGATGCTTCTTTTCCCACCTTTTAGAGTTTTTATCAAGAAAGGGTGCTGGACTTTGTCAAATGCTTTTTCTGCATCAATTGATATGACTTTGATTTTTCCCCCTTAATTTGTTTATGTGATATATCACATTTATTGATTTGTGGATATTGTTCCATCCTTGTATCCCCAGGATAAATCTTACTTGGTCATGGTGTATGATCTTTCTTGTGTACTGTTAGATCTGATTTGCTAGAATTTTGTTGAGGATTTTGGCACCTATATTCATGGTATATTGGCTTGTAATTCTCTTTCATTGAGTTGTCTTTATCTGGTTTTGGTATTAGGGTGATGCTGGCTTCATAGAAGGAGCTTGAAAGTGGTCCTTCCCCTTGAATTTTTTGGAATAGTATGAGGAAGATAGTTTTAGTTCTTCCTTGAATGTTTGGTAAAACTCTCCTGTGAAGCCGGCTGGCCCCGGGCTTTTGTTTGCTGGAAGCTTTTTGATGACTGCTTCAATTTCTTCCATAGTTATTGGCATAATGAAATTTTTAGATTCTTCTTGAGTTTTGGAAGGTTGTATTTTTCTAGGAATATGTCCATTTCCTCCAGGTTGTCCAGTTTGTTGGAATAGAGTTTTTCTTTTCTTTTTTTTTTAATATATATTTTATTGATTTTTTACAGCACATGTGTCAAACACAAGGCCCGCGGGCCAAATCCGTTCCGCCAGGCCTTGCAATGTGGCCCGCACCACGCTGTCATCACTGCACTCCACTGCGTTTCCATCACAATGACAGTTTATGACTGTTCAGTAAACCATTCGGAATGCGATTTAGGCTGGATTTTAGATTTTGGCCCCTTCTCTGATTGAGTTCGACACCCCTATTTTACATAGAGGAAGGAAGAGAAATAGAGAGCTAGAAACGTTGATGAGAGAAACATCGACCAGCTGCCTCTTGCACACCCCCTACCGGGTATGTGCCCTCAACCAACATTCATGCCCCTGACCGGAATTGAACCTGGGACCTTTCAGTCCGCAGACCGACGCTCTACCACTGAGCCAAACCGGTTTCAGCGGAAAAGATTTTCATAGTATTTTTTAAAAAATATATTGTATTGATTTTTTACAGAGAAGAAGGGAGAGAAATAGAAAGTTAGAAACATCGATGTGAGAGAAACGTCCATCAGCTACCTCCTGCACACCCCCTACTGGGGATGTGCCTGCTACCAAGGTACATGCCCTTGACCGGAATCGAACCCAGGACCTTTCAGTCCGCAGGCTTATGCTCTATCCACTGAGCCAAACTGCTCAGGGCTGTTCATAGTATTTTTTAACAATCCTTTGTATTTTGGTGGGGTTTGTTGTTATTTCGCCTATATCATTTCTGATTTTGTTTATTTGGGTCCTCTCTCTTTGCTTCTTGGTGAACATGGCTATAGGTTCATCAATCTTGTTTATCCTTTCAAAGAATCAGCTCTTGGTTTGTTGGTATTTTGTATTGTTATTTTGTTCTCTATGTCGTTTATCTCCATTCTGATATTATTTCCTTCCTTCTGCTTACACTGGGCTTTTCTTGTTGCTCTCTTTCTAACTCTTTGAGTTGTAGGGTTAGATAATTTTTTACCATTGTTTATTTTTTTTCTGCAGTAGGCCTATAGAGCTAAGAACTTCCCTCTCAAGACTGTGCCCCATTGACTTGAATTGTTGTGTTTTCATTGTCTTTTGTTGCCATGATGCTTTTTATTTCTTCTTTGATCTCTCTGGTAACCCAGTCATTGCTTCATAGCATGGTATTTAACCTTCAGGTGTTTGATTTTTTAAAATTGTTTTTATTGTATTTTATTTCTAATTTTATGTTATTGTGATCTGAGAAGATGTGTGATATGATTTCTATCTTCTTGAATTTGAAAAGACTTTGCCTGTGTCCCAACATATTGTCTATCTTTGAAAATGATTCATGTGCACTTGAGAAGATTGTATATTCTATGGCTTTGGGGTGAAATGTTCTGAAGATGTCAGTGAATTCCACCTGATCTAGTGTGTCATTTAGCATTGATATTTCTGCTGATTTTTGTTTAGAGGATTTGTCCAGTGGTGTTAGTGGGGTAGTAAAAGTCCTCTGTGGGCCCCCTTCCACATTCTTGGACAATGTACTCAGATTTTGTGGGGCACAGACTTCATCTGAACCTCTAGATCTCACTGTGCATGTTTCTTCCTTCACCCTGGATCGCAGGCCTCACCTTTCTCTGGGCAAAATCTGACCTTTCTGTGAGAAGGTGCAGAGCTTGTCCAAGTCTGTGTATTTGCGCTGCTTGCGACCTGGTGTTTGTGGGTTCACTGCAGGTCCCTGGGTGTAGTGGTTGTAGGGTCCCAGGAGTTATCCGATTCTTCCTCATTGAAGGTAAGGCTAGGGTTTAATCACAGCCATTCTCCCCTTCAATATGGCGCGGTCTCTGCGGCAGAGCCAGTCACTCTGGGAGAGATTTCAACAGCAGTGGAGGCTGCCCGGTCAGTCCCCAACAGTCCCTTGGAATATAGCTGTCCCTCACTACAAATAGACACTCCCCATGGGTCCACACACTTCTTTTGTTCTCTCACTCATACACTATCTTGCAGCCTTCCTTCCCTTCAGCAGTCATCTTCCTCTAAAATTGAAGACCTTGGTTTTTTATTATAAACTTTTTATTTGAGATCATTGCACATGCATATGCATTTGTAAGAAATAATACAGAGAAATTCCATGTATCCTACCTGATTAAAAAAGTATAGCACAATAGCCAAAACCGGTTTGGCTCAGTGGATAGAACGGACTAAAAGGTCCCAGGTTTGATTCCGGTCAAGGGCATGTGCCTTGGTTTCGGGCACATCCCTGGTGCGGGGTGCAAGAGGCAGCTGAATTGGTGATTCTCTCTCATCAATGTTTCTAACTCTCTGTCCCTCTCTCTTTCTCTCTGTAAAAATTTAATAAAATATATATTTTAAAAATTAAAAAATATATATAGCACAATATCACTGCAAGAATATTGACATTGATATGGTTAAGACACAGAACATTTTCATTACCAGAATACTTTATGTTGCTCTTTTATAGACATTCCTGTTTCCCTCCCGTTGCTACCTCTTCCCTGCCCCTTGGGAAATATTAATCTCTTCTCCATTTTCTATAGATTGTCATTTCTAGAGTGTTCTACATATAGAATCATACAAAATGTAACCTTTTTTCATTCTCATCATATGGATGTATACAGTTTTGTTTTTTAAAATATATTTTTATTTATTTCAGAGAGGGAGGGAGAGGGAGAGAGACACAGAAACATAGTAAATGAAGAGAGGAAACCATTGAATAGTCGCCTCCCGCTCACCCCACACTGGGGACTGAGCCTGCAACCCAGTCATGCGCCCTTCACCGGAACCAAATCCAACACCCCTCAGTCCACAGGCTAATGCTCTATCCACTGTCAAACCGGCCAGGGCCACAGTTTGTTTAACCATTCACTTGTTGATGGTCGTCTGGGTTGCTTCCAGTTTGGGGTTATTAGGAATAAACATGATAAAAACATCCATGTAAAGATTTTTGTGTAAACTTGAGTCATTCTTTTGGGATAAATGACCCAGTAGTGCATTTTCTGGATCATATAGTAGTTGCGTGTTTAGATTTTTTATAAGTTGTCAAATTGTTTTCCAGAATGGCTACACTATTTAATATATTTAATAATGGCTATATTATTAATATAAATATCAATAATGCATGAGTAATACAGTTTTTCTACATTCTTGTCAGCACTTGGTACAATCAGTATTTTTTAATTTAGCATAGATGTGTAATGATGCCTCATTATGGTTTTAATTTGCATTTCCTTAATGGTTGATGATGTTAAATATTTTTTCATGTGCTTTTTACTTTTTTAAATTAAGTTTCAAAAAATTTTTTTTATATATATATTTTATTGATTTTTTACAGAGAGGAAGAGAGAGGAATAGAGAGTTAGAAACATCGATCAGCTGCCTCTTGCATACACCCCCCTTTGGGGATGTGCCCACAACCAAGGTACATGCCCTTGACCGGAATCGAACATGGGGCCTTTCAGTTCGCAGGCCAACCCTCTGTCCACTGAGCCAAACCAGTCTTGGCTCATGTGCTTTTTAAAAAATATTTTTGTTGTTGTTGATTTCAGAGAGGAAGGGAGGAGAGAGATACAAAAACAACAGTAATGAGAGAAAACCGTTGATCGGCTGCCTCCTGCATGCCCTACACTGGAGATCAAGTCCACAACCCAGGCATGTGCCCTGACTGGTAATTGAACCGTGACCTCATGGTTCATAAGTCGACACTAAACCACTGAGCCACAGCAGTCTGACTCGTGCTTTTTTCTTATCTTCACGTCAGGATATGTTTATTGACTAGAAAGAGAGGAAGAGTGAGGGGGAGAAATAGAGAGAAACATCAATGTAAGAGAGAGACATTGATTGGTTGCCTCCTATATGTGCGCCGACTGAGACTAGAACCATCAACCTTTTGGTGCACAGGATGACACTCCAATTCAGCCAGGGCTCCATGTGCTATTTGATATCTTTGTTGAAATATCTCTTCATGCCCCCTTTTGATTGGGTTATTTTAGTTCTGTTTTTACTATTGGGTTTTTAGACTTTTAAAAAATATATTTTAGATACTATCACTTTGTTTTTGTCCATATGTAGTTTGCAAATATTTTCTTCCAGTCTGTAATGTGTCCTTTTTTTTCTCCTAAAGTCTTTTCAGAATAAATAATTTTAATTTTCTTTTTTTTAAAATATATTTTATTGAGTTTTACAGAGAGGAAGGGAGAGAGATAGAGAGTTAGAAACATCGATGAGAGAGAATCACTGATCAGCTGCCTCTTGCACGCTCCCCACTGGGGATGTGCCTGCAATCAAGGTGCATGCCCTCGACCAAAATTGAACCCGGGACCCTTCAGTTCCCAGGCCAACACTCTATCCGCTGAGCCAAACCAGTTTTGGCAATGTTTTTAATTTTCAAGAAGCCCAGTTGAGTCCAGCCTGTGTGGCTCAGATGGTTAAGTGTCTTCCACACTCCAGGAGGTCACTGGTTCAATTCCCAGTCAGGGCATATGCCCTGGTTGTGTGTTGGGTTCCCCGTAGGGGTATGTAGGAGGCAGCCCATCGATGCTTCTGTCATTCTCTCCCTTTCCTTCCTCTCTCTGAAATAAATTTAAAAAATAAAATTAGTCCTATTGATCAATTTCTCTTTTTATGGATCACTAGAGGCCTGGTGCAGGAAATTCTGCAAGGGGTGAGGGGATTTCCCTCAGCCCAGCCTGCACCCTCTCCAATCTGGGACCCCTCGAGGGATGTTAGACTCAGTGGGATTGGGTCTAAACGGGCAGTCAGACATCTCTCTCACAATCCAGGACTGCTGGCTCCCAACTGCTTGCCTGCCAGCCTGATGACCCCCTAACCACTCCCATGCCAGCCTGATTGATGTCTAACTGCTCCCCTGACAGTCTGTTTGCCTCCAACTTCCCTCCTCTGCCAGCCTGGCCACCCCTATCTGCCCTCCCCTACAAGGTTGATCGACTCCAACTGCCTTCCCCTGCTGGCCATCTTATGGTGGCCATCTTGTATCCACATAGGGGCAGGATCTTTGACCACATGGGGGAAGCCATCTTGTGTGTGGGAGTGATGGTCAATCTGCATATTACTCTTTTATTAGATAGGATAGAGGCCTGGTGCACAGGTGGAGACCAGCTGGTTTGCCCTGAAGGGTGGCCCTTATCAGGGTGGGGGTTCCCTTGGGGTGTGGGGTGGCCTGGGCGAGGGGGCCTGTGGTGGTTTGCAGGCCAGCCATACCCCCTGGTGAACCAAGCAGAGGCCCTGGTATCTGGAATTTATTTACCTTCTCCAATTGAAACTTTGCAACCTGGAGCAGAGCCAAGCCCCTGCTCACTCTGTGGCTGCTGCCATTTCTGTTTGGTTTTATGTATTTTCTATAATTGAAACTTTGTAGCCTGGAGTGGAGGCCTAGACCAGCTAGGACAGGTGGAAAGCTTTGCTTCC